GGCATTAGCATCTTTTGTCCGAGGTGCCCCCAAGCCCTGCTGGGTTACAGCGCCCCGTGGGCTCTCACGTGGGCTCTTCTAGCAAGAGCGGATGGCATCAAAAGAGGAACATTTGCCTCTTGCTCCACTTCCCCTCCTCCTCCTCCCCCCTTCCGGAGATATTTCATCACTTGCTGATTTAAACCATGAAGAAGTGAGGCTGGAAGGGATCTCCAGAGGCCACATCTAGTCCAACCCCTGCCTGAGGCAGGACCAGCCCCAGCCAAACCATCCCATACAAACCATCAGCTAACCTCTTCCTAAAACTACCGTCGACCCTGAAACAACGTGAGACGTCACACCCCAACCTGCCGCAGGTAAAGCACGAGCACCACGGCAGCTGATGTGGCTGTGCTTCTAGAGAAGGATGTTAACGCATGCCCTGCTTCTACAAAAGGACGTTACTATATCCCAGGCAGAGCTGTGCCGCCTGCTAGAGAGGAAGGCAAACCCCCCGCAGTCTGCACCAATCTGAGCCAGGGGTAAAAATCCTTCCTGACCCTCATACAGCATCAGTCTGACCCTGAGAAGAGGGGCAAGACCCTCCAGCCAGGAACCTAGTAAAGGAAAGGTGAGCTCGTGGGTAAAAAGAGGGAAATCCAGACAACACAGGGCCACGGCATAGTTCTGCTGCAGGCTCCTTGGCAAGTCACTTAAGGTCAGATCTACATCACTTGACCACCTGGCACGTGCCTAAGCAGCACCCTATCAAGAACAATGCCTTGTGTCTGCCCAGGCACTTGAGCGTCTGAAGGCGTCTAATAACTTTACATTGAGGCCCACCCATCTGCTCCTGCAAAAGCCCGGGGGTGTTGCCATCTTGGTAGACCTCCTTCAGCAGCTGTCTTCTGCCCAGCGCGGTTGGGAGTCCTAAATGAAGCCCTGACAGCACCAAGGGAGGGGATGATGCCCAGCTCTTCTGCAACAGTGCAATGGTTATAGCACTCGCTCAGGGAATAGGAGTCCGGGGTTGCCTTATCCCAAGGGGATTCAAACCATGTGGGTCCTAACTCCCCTGGCTAGAAGCATGACTTGGATGGGGGAAGGGTGCATTCCTCACCCTTCCTGATGAAGCTGTGCCCAAGCATGGGGCAAAGGGGAGGGTAAGCAAGGGGGACCACGACTGCAGACCGATGCTGCGGGCGCTTCCCTGGGGAGGATAGGCCTGGGCTCCAGCCCTTGCTTCCAGTGCGTTTTATCCAGGAACACTTTAGTGCAAAATGCATGTGGATTGCACAACTAAAAGACCCGCTTGTGGTCCCTCTGCCTCCATTTCTTGGGCACATTGGCACAGCTTCACCAGGAGGGAAGGGGAGTGTTGCCCCAGCCTGGTGGTCAGGGCAGTGTCTGAGGAGGCAGGAGACTGGGGTTGAGCCCCAAGATCCCAGGTCCTGAGAGCTCCTCCCCAGCAAGGTGGAGACAGGATACCCCTGAGCACAGTCACCCCTGCATTTCCAGACACAGTTGGGCTGAACTGACCACTATTAGTCCACTAGTGCCTCAGTTCCCCATCTGTGAAATGGGGATGATGGTGCTGCTTGGCCTCACAAGGGCTTTGTGGGGAAAGGGACATTAAAGAGATGCGGGGGGGGGGTATCCACTCATCTTTGCTCTCCATTAAGCCAGTGGCTGCTGGTAAAGCCAGCGGGGGAAACACCTGGCAGGTGGAAGAGGCCAGCCAGTCCACCAGCTCCGTCCCACGTCCTTGACATTGAGAAAGCAGCAAGTGCTGCTCCACGTGGCAGGAAGACGACCGGAAAGCACTCGCTTTTGTCTGCTCCCCTTGCTCTTGGGTCACCCTCCCTGAGGAACTGGTCAAGCTAACGCTTCGGGGCAGCGACAGCCCAAGGGTAGCCCCCATCGACTGCTAGTTTTAGCAACAGGGGTGGGACGCACCAACTAATGAAAGCAAAGCGCGCGCCTCTCCTCTCCAGGAAGAGGCCAGCCGTCTCTGCCGGACCAGCGTGCAGCAAGGGACACGCTGCCATGTCTCGACTAGGATGGCTTGGGGGTTAACTTCCTCCTACATGCCCCAAAAGGGGGAAAAAAGTGTCACCCACCAGAACCCCCTCATAACAAAGACTTAAGAGCCACTGCCAGCTGCTGCTTCGATGATTGCTAATCCACGCCGGCACCAAATAAGGTCTCCTGCTCCTCAGGGCTTTCAGGAGGAGATTAGGCAGCCCCTGGGTATTCGTTCCCAGAAGCATGCCTGGAATGTCAGCTACAGCCAAACCGTGGGGAGGTAAGAGACCGGCAAGTCCCCAATCCAAGCACACATGTATTCCTTGTTTTTCGGACTCCGCTTTCTGCATCAACAGGCATGGATCCTTTCGCCTCTGGACTTCCAAGTGCTTCCAATTAAAAAGGCGGCCTTTCTAGGGGGCCGTGCTGCAAAATGGAACAGTTAAGCATGCCAAGAGCCGGGGGGCCAGAAACTAGCATTGGGCTTTGCAGTGTTTATGGATCAAAACCCTTCCTGTCTAAACGTGGCTCCCGTCCACTTCATAACATGCCATTCCTTCCTTCCCCATGTGGCCAAACTCTCCCTGGCTGGGTCTTGAGCATTTTTTGCTTCCCCTCGAACGTGTCCTGCTAGTGGCTACCACCCACGAGGCTTGGGTAGGGATTGCTCCAGGAGAGCTCAGAGTGGTTCTAGGTGATGCTTTAGTACACATAGGAGCTCCCCTCCCCGCAAGGCTGGAGCACGCTCATTTTCCAGTTAGTGTAGCAGAATTGCCTAGGAAGGGATTAGGCCTGTGGCTCCATCCTCGGCATTGTAGTGTCAGCCTCAACACCCAGTGCAGGGGATGCTAGGAGAACCAGATGCATTTTCTTTCTTGGCATGGTCGCAGCCTTCCTTAGTGTGACGTGCTCGACACCGTTTTCCACAGCCCTGTGTAGAGCAACTCAGGTAATGGACTATTGCTAAACTGCCCAATAGTCCATCAGACTCAGGTGTGCTATGCGGCCTCTCCCTTCAGCTTTCCTTAGAGGGGTGCTGGGTCTATTCTTGGTGGCTTAGAAATCAACTTGGGAGGAACAATAAGTCATTGTCAACTGTGGCTTCCCTCCCTGGTGCTTTGACTGGGCGAGCTTGAAAGCTGCATCGCAACATGAATAGGATCTGTAGGATCCGCGAAGTGCGTTGGGGAAAAAAAAAAAGAAAAACGTTCCTCAGTGAAAAAAGTGTCAAGGCTACAAATCTGGGATGAGGATTTTCCTCAAGAATGTTAAAATTCCTGCCCCCCTTGCCGCCGCAAGCACACACAGGACAAGGAAGATGCTGTCAGGAATTTAATTGTACTTGGCACTTCACACTGTACAAGACATTTACAGAGAACCCTGTTTTGTTGCCTTTATTTACAACGTCTTCTGCCCTCCACCACTCCTGGCCAATGCATTCATCCTTTCCAGCCAAGTTGCAGCTCTTGAAGCACTGATTTCCTGCAGTGCTTGAGGATCCTTATCTCATGCCGTCATTACCAATTTAGCTAAAAGAAAACTTTGTTTGAACCATAACTATTGCTAATGCTTCATCAGACGCCTACTGAGAGGCCTTTCCTCATCTCTTTGCCTAAGACTATCGAAACGCATCAACCTTGTCATGCATCACCACTTGCTTCTCCTCTCAACAATTTGACACCAAACACTTCCTGCCCTCCATCCACCTACGACATACAATAATAAGCCTTCACATTTGCCTCTTGTGCTCCCCCGTGTTCCAATTAAGAACAAGACTTAATTCTGAAACCAAAAACAAAAAGGCAAAACTCTCCTCTCCTCTCTCATTTACCCTAAATCAACGCTTCTGTCTACCCCCGACCTTTCTGCGACATCCCCAAAACCTTCAGATCACCAATGCAGTTCCTCTTTCAGCAATTCAGAGCATGCACAAGCTGGTTACAGTCAGCATGTCAAACAACTTGGACTGCTCCGTTAAGTGAGTTATCCTACCCACTCAAAACATTATGGCTTGGCTTCACCGCGCAAAGTTTTGAACAGGCTTTAAAAAAAAAGTATGTACAAAGACATTTTTGAACAAAAAAAGATTAAGGACTTGAAAGGAAATGCCATGTTTGAAAGTCACGATACAATAAAATGAAACAAACATACAAAAGGAAGTCTTTAAAAAAAAAAAGAAGCTATTTTAAAATAAAATAAAAAAACAACTTAAATACCTGGCAGGTTATGTAAATTAAAATGAGGAATGTACAATGAACAAAGATGAAAAATTCCAGTAGGTAAATGGAAAACCTATTGAGCCGGAGTCTGTTTCTCCAAGAGTGCCATATTGTTGCACGAATTAAAACACCACACTGCAAACCATGCACAAGTTCAAAACGTGACTGGGTTTCTCGAGTTTAAGTTGGAATTGAAAATCTCTTTCACAATGTTGATCCCAAAATTGTGAAAGGTGTCACACACTCTCAGCAGTTCCTTATCTTGGTGGGTTTGGATTTCCTTCAGAGGACCACACTTCTGCTGACTCCCAAAAAACAGCCTTACTGAATGTCTTCCAGTCTCAAGTACTGTTCGTATTAATGCTTTGGAAACCTGAAGTCTACTCTTCAGGTCTGCCATTAAAGAACAGTAAAGAGCAGGAGAAATTTGGAACTGCTGTTTGAATTGCAGTCAGAGTCAAGGTGGCCACACGTGCTTCAGAAAAAACAGACTCCAGATCGACAGCGTTCACTGTATACCAATAGCTGCCATTACACACACGTACAAAACACACACACACACACACACACACACACACACGTTCACACAAAGACATGTTTGTTCAGCAGAGTAACCTCATTATGCTCACGTTACAAGAAAAAATGTACACATTATTTATAAATAAACAATTCTTCCTCAAAGAAGTCCTTTGGCTCCTTCTTAAACTAGCGTTTCTTTCCGTTTGCTGCTGAGCTGCTTCTCTCTCACTTTCCTGTGCCCGGAGAACGTTCTGTGCGTTTTCCCGTTCTCGGCTTCGTCTGTGTCCACAGTCGAGCAACATTCAGCGGTGTTTTCGTCTATCTCCATCTCAAGGATTCCAGACATGGCCGACTGCCTCCTCTGGACCTTGGTGTTGGATGCAGCTGAGTTGTTCTCTTCCGACTCCTCGCTGAGCTCCGGCAGCTCCTTCAGGTCTGCCGAGGAGGCAGTAGTCCGCTGGAAGGGCATGATGGCCGTTCTGATGCAATTAACCCACTGCTGCTTGTGGAAGATGTCGTTGGCTTGTAGCGTGTGGGATTGGCCTGGGCTGGGGTCTTGGAAGCGAACTCTGAAGATATTTTTTGCTAAACAGAAGAAAAAAAGGAAAAGAAAGTCAGTTCGGTAATTCTGGACTTAAAACGATTTTGTTCTACTACTACCAGCTTAAGTGTTCATATACCATGGTTATGAAAGAACACCAAGGCGAGAAAGTCTGAGATGATGACAACAGAATAATGCATCCGAGTTGTCAGATGAGACATTTCAGACAAAAATATATGACAGCCAGATATAAAACTGCCTTCACTGTGGCCATCTAAAAGGAAGAGGGCAATGAACATCACTTGACTTGACAAGGATGCAAGTGCATAGGGAACTATTGTAAAAAAAGGGAGATGCTCCATTTCAAGTTTTGTGACCAGGGTTTTGTACCTTTATCTGAATTGCCGAAAGCTCCCCTGAAGGATCCTCCCATTTTCACGTCCCCATCCTGCAGATCCTCCAGCACCAACTCCTGAACTGGGATCGGTTGTCTGTACACCTGGTAGGAGTGACGCTCGTTCCGAGTCACCGGCCGTGTTAAGACCAGGATGTCTTGGAAGAGGAAGACGTACAGTTTCTGGAAAGAGATAAACATTGGAGATGTGAATTTACAGTTTTGTGTTAGAGAGGTTCCGTATTCAGAACTGCTCCCCACGCACAAACTTGAGGCTATGTATCATTAGTCCTACACTAACCCCATTACAATTTCCTGTTGTTGCACTCAAAATACAGAGCTTCTGACAACTGTGACATCTTCAAGATGGTGAGGCCTGACTCTGTTCTTGGCATAAAGCCACTGTGCTTGAGGAAGTCATCTCTGATTTACACTGGTGTATCTACATTCTCCGACTTAAGTGCTTCAGGAAATCATTTTGCTCTCAGATTTAAAATCTCCTCAGAGCTACCAGTTGGAAACTAAGCAGAATATTAGGAAAGAAACAAACTGATAACGAGGATGTGATTTTCCTTGGTCTTAGCAGCTTAACACTGCAAAGTATTTCCAACGAAACAGCAAAGCTTGACATTTAATATTAATAGCTGGACTTTTTAACAGTTTGACAAATTAAACCCACGTAGAAGACAGATGCCAAGACGAGCCATTTCTGAGAGCGACACCAACCCAGCCTTCACAACACTGCTGCTAGCAGATGTTGCTACGCTTACGGGTATTTGTGGAGCAGATTTAAAACAAAAACAAAACCCAAAAAAACCCAAAAAACTTTGCTTGAGCAGAAATGGACAGGCTAGGAACCATCAGGAAGGGCTAGGAGCTCAACTGCATAACTGGGAATGTTAATGTCCCTTCCAAGCAAGTGGTCAAGCAGAAAGTCTCTCTCCATTAATGGGAAGATGCATAGCCTCCTTAATACAAAAAGTCTTCTGCTAATTACAACATCCTAAGGTGGTTGGAAACACCAGCAGCTGTTGGCTTTTCCTTAAAGCTGAAGCACAGCAGAACATCACACCCATTCTCTTGTGATGGGTTTTGGATTAGTGATACTAGCATCCTCTAAAGTTAGAAGTGATGGCTTAAGGGTCCCAGCCCTACTCTGGCAAACAAGCAGCGCTGATGTGTCCTTCCCACATAGGAGGAATGGAGTGGAAGGAAGAGCACCAGTCACAGGTTTTCAGACTGAACCTTAGACATCAATATATTAGAAGAACTTACGTGGCCATTCTTATTCTTCAGCTCCCCATGGCACAGCAACACCTTGCTGGTTTCAATTCTAGGGTCCTTCTGCTTGTCATCCAGATACTCCAGTTTGTCAATATAATACTGGCACTCTGACTCTCCCTTCTTCAAGTTGATGTCTGAGAGGACTCTTTGGATTATAGTGATCTAGAAAATAAAATGTTAAAAAAAAAAACTTAATTGCATAATGATTTGTGTTTTACTTTTATCCCCGGTTTAAAACTCTGCTGCAATGCTTGGGTTTCCTTGTGCAAGCGCTTGGGAATGTCTCTCATTGGATTTCAATGGGACTAGTACCTGTGTAACTGGGCTTACTAGAGAAACCATACCCCTACATCATTTAGGGTGTAAGAGAGCTCTCTTACAGCCCAAGTGCTATATGATTACACACGATCACCATTATTACTTACAGCTTCTTTCAGAATTTGGACATCAGGATGATCTTTTGGAGTATGTTTAAGAATTTCTTTCAAGAGCAGTGGGTATTTGACTAGCCGACTTCGAGGGATATCCAGGAAGCTCCACAGGTCCAGCTTGCGGCTGAAAGGGGATTCAAGACAGCGCTGAAGGAAGTCCTGGACTCTTCGGTCTTGCTTCTTCTGATCCAGAAGAGCTTTGGCTGCCAGTTGGTTACTGCAATAGCCTTTGTAGGCATTCAGTCCTGGTAACTAAAGAAACAGCAGGACACTATTAGTTAAACTCCCTTGAAAGTATTGAGCACATGAATATGGCAGACTGTTCCCCCTTAACAGAGTATTATAACTAAAAATAAGAAACAACAATGGCATTTTTATGCAGATTATGTTTTGCATGAGGGAAGATAGATTCAGAAACGTCAACTTCCTTTGAAGTTTAGACACCTGAAATCATCTCATTGATAAACCTCCCAGAAAACAAGCATTCAACATAAATCAAGAAATCATTACAAGGTGTCAAACAGCATAGTTAGATCTGTAGAGTTTCCCTGACCTGTCAAAGTCAATAGACTCCCAATGACTTGCATGTTGCTAGGATTGCATCCCAGATCATTAAGCTTATGGCAACCAAATTATGTTACTCTATAGCTTAGAATTGTGTGGCTCCATCTTAATTTTAGCTGACTGATACCAGTCATCATTTGAGTGAATAACCAAGGGGACTCACCCATTTGACAAGAATGGGCCCGATCTGCTCCACTGTTCCATCTGGTCTTGTTGCTTCTCCTAACCTTGCCAAGAAGTCTGGAATCAAGAACACAGATGATTACCACGAGTGCCTCAGGAAGTGCTTATGCCTGAAATAATAAAGCATAGATGCCAAGTACTCTTCACCAGACTTCAGACTTTCACTGTTGCTGCTCTTACCTTCATGGAGAGGGATATATGAATCCAAGTCCCCGAATATGTGAGTCAGTTCCTCCTCTGACATGATAGACAGCTTCAACATGGGGTCATGATAAGCCTACGGAAGAAGATTGGTGCCGAATTATATCACAGTCTAAACAAAATAATAGCAGGGCACTGGGTAATTTGAGGGAAAATACATGCGTCTTATGTGCAGCACAGGACTGATTAAGCACTTGCTGGCTGTTTCACTGACTCTGATGGGTGTCAATACCAGAACCACAAAATACCAGATACCTACAAATCTGGTATCTGTATACCAAATATTGATAGATAACAGATACCAGAACCATAAAAGCTAAGAGATTCTAAGTGCCCAAGTTGATTTTCTTATGTAGAGAAGAGCATTTGAAATATTTGGGGGGGGGGGGGGGG